CTTATTATTTTCTGTAATTTTCATGATGTGACCCGACTTAGTTTTTTCTCAAAAAAAATAATTTAATTTAGTGGAGGGGGATGTATTTAGCTATGACTCCGATATTTTCCCAAAATTTTGAGCTTGGAATTTGAAAGTATATTTGATTCTTATTATTTTTTGTGATTTTCATGGTGTGACCCGACCTAGTTTTTCCTCAAAAAATAATTAAATTTAGTGGAGGGGGATGGTTTTAGCTATGACGCCGATATTTTCCTAAAATTTTGAGCTTGGAATTGGAATGTATATTCTGTTCTTATTACTTTCTGTAAGTTTTATGGCGTGACGCGACCTAGTTTTTCCTCAAAAAAAATAATTAAATTTAATGGAGGGGGATGGTTTTAGCTATGACGCCTATATTTTTCTGAAATTTTGAGTTTGGAATTTGAAAGCCCATTTGATTCTTATTATTTCCTGTGATTTTCATGGTGTGACCCGACCTAGTTTTTTCTCAAAAAAATAATTAAATTTAGTGGAGGGGGATGGTTTTAGCTATGACGCCGATATTTTTCTAAAATTTTGAGCTTGGAATTGGAATGCATATTCTGTTTTTATTACTTTCTCTAAGTTTTATGGCGTGACGCGACCTAGTTTTTCCTACAAAAAAAATAATTGAATTTAGTGGAGGGGGATGGTTTTAGTTATGACGCCGATATTTTTCTGAAACTTTGAGCTTGGAATTTGAAAGCCTATTTGATTCTTATTATTTTCTGTGATTTTCATGGTGTGACCCGACCTAGTTTTTCCTCAAAAAAATAATTAAATTTAGTGGAGGGGGATGATTTTAGCTATGACGCCGATATTTTTCTGAAATTTTGAGCTTGGAATTTGAAAGCCTATTTGATTCTTATTATTTTCTGTAATTTTCATGATGTGACCCGACTTAGTTTTTTCTCAAAAAAAATAATTTAATTTAGTGGAGGGGGATGTATTTAGCTATGACTCCGATATTTTCCCAAAATTTTGAGCTTGGAATTTGAAAGTATATTTGATTCTTATTATTTTTTGTGATTTTCATGGTGTGACCCGACCTAGTTTTTCCTCAAAAAATAATTAAATTTAGTGGAGGGGGATGGTTTTAGCTATGACGCCGATATTTTCCTAAAATTTTGAGCTTGGAATTGGAATGTATATTCTGTTCTTATTACTTTCTGTAAGTTTTATGGCGTGACGCGACCTAGTTTTTCCTCAAAAAAAATAATTAAATTTAATGGAGGGGGATGGTTTTAGCTATGACGCCTATATTTTTCTGAAATTTTGAGTTTGGAATTTGAAAGCCCATTTGATTCTTATTATTTCCTGTGATTTTCATGGTGTGACCCGACCTAGTTTTTTCTCAAAAAAATAATTAAATTTAGTGGAGGGGGATGGTTTTAGCTATGACGCCGATATTTTTCTAAAATTTTGAGCTTGGAATTGGAATGCATATTCTGTTTTTATTACTTTCTCTAAGTTTTATGGCGTGACGCGACCTAGTTTTTCCTACAAAAAAAATAATTGAATTTAGTGGAGGGGGATGGTTTTAGTTATGACGCCGATATTTTTCTGAAACTTTGAGCTTGGAATTTGAAAGCCTATTTGATTCTTATTATTTTCTGTGATTTTCATGGTGTGACCCGACCTAGTTTTTCCTCAAAAAAATAATTAAATTTAGTGGAGGGGGATGATTTTAGCTATGACGCCGATATTTTTCTGAACTTTTAAGTTTGGAATTTGAAAGCCTATTTGGTTCTTATTATTTTCTGTGAGTTTCATGGTGTGACCCGACCTAGTTTTTCCTCAAAAAAATAATTAAATTTAGTGGAGGGGGATGGTTTTAGCTATGACGCCGATATTTTTCTGAAATTTTGAGCTTGTAATTTGAAAGTATATTTGATTCTTATTATTTTCTGTGATTTTCATGGTGTGACCCGACCTAGTTTTTCCTCCAAAAAATAATTAAATTTAGTGGAGGGGGATGGTTTTAGCTATGACGCCGATATTTTTCTGAAATTTTGAGCTTGTAATTTGAAAGTATATTTGATTCTTATTATTTCCTGTGATTTTCATGGTGTGACTTGACCTAGTATTTCTCAAAAAAATAATTAAATTTAGTGGAAGGGGATGATTTTAGCTATGACGCCGATATTTTTCTGAAATTTTGAGCTTGGAATTTGAAAGCCTATTTGATTCTTATTATTTTCTGTAATTTTCATGATGTGACCCGACCTAGTTTTTTCTCAAAAAAATAATTTAATTTAGTGGAGGGGGATGTATTTAGCTATGACGCCGATATTTTCCTAAAATTTTGAGCTTGGAATTGGAATGTATATTCTGTTCTTATTACTTTCTGTAAGTTTTATGGCGTGACGCGACCTAGTTTTTCCTCAAAAAAAATAAATAAATTTAGTGGCGGGGGGTGGTTTTAGCTATGACGCCGATATTTTTCCAAAATTTTGAGCTTGGAATTGGAATGTATATTCTGTTTTTATTACTTTCTGTAAGTTTTATGGCGTGACGCGACCTAGTTTTTCCTCAAAAAAAATAATTAAATTTAGTGGAGGGGGATGGTTTTAGCTATGACGCCGATATTTTTCTGAAATTTTGAGCTTGGAATCTGAAAGTATATTTGATTCTTATTATTTTCTGTGATTTTCATGGTATGACCCGACCTAGTTTTTCCTCAAAAAAATAATTAAATTTAGTGGAGGGGGATGGTTTTAGCTATGACGCCGATATTTTTCTGAAATTTTGAGCTTGGAATTTGAAAGTATATTTGATTCTTATTATTTTCTGTGATTTTCATGGTATGACCCGACCTAGTTTTTCCTCAAAAAAATAATTAAATTTAGTGGAGGGGGATGGTTTTAGGTATGACGCCGATATTTTTCTAAAATTTTGAGCTTGGAATTGGAATGTATATTCTGTTCTTATTACTTTCTGTAAGTTTTATGGCGTGACGCGACCTAGTTTTTCCTCAAAAAAAATAATTGAATTTAGTGGAGGGGGATGGTTTTAGCTATGACGCCGATATTTTTCTGAAATTTTGAGTTTGGAATTTGAAAGCCTATTTGATTCTCATTATTTTCTGTGATTTTCATGGTGTGACCCGACCTAGTTTTTTCTCAAAAAAATAATTAAATTTAGTGGAGAGGGATGGTTTTAGCTATGACGCCGATATTTTTCTGAAATTTTGAGCTTGTAATTTGAAAGTATATTTGATTCTTATTATTTTCTGTGATTTTCATGGTGTGATTGACCTAGTTTTTCCTCCAAAAAATAATTAAATTTAGTGGAGGGGGATGATTTTAGCTATGACGCCGATATTTTTCTGAAATTTTGAGCTTGTAATTTGAAAGTATATTTGATTCTTATTATTTTCTGTGATTTTCATGGTGTGACCCGACCTAGTTTTTCCTCCAAAAAATAATTGAATTTAGTGGAGGGGGATGGTTTTAGCTATGACGCCGATATTTTTCTGAAATTTTGAGCTTGTAATTTGAAAGTATATTTTATTCTTATTATTTTCTGTGATTTTGATGGTGTGACCCGACCTAGTTTTTCCTCCAAAAAATAATTAAATTTAGTGGAGGGGGATGGTTTTAGGTATGACGCCGATATTTTTCTAAAATTTTGAGCTTGGAATTGGAATGTATATTCTGTTCTTATCACTTTCTGTAAGTTTTATGGCGTGACGCGACCTAGTTTTAGAAAAGGGAAGGGAATAACTTTAGCTATTCCCCTGTCATTTTTCTTAAGTTTCATGTCGTGAACTTTTGAATCTTTTCGTAAAAAATTAGAGGTAAATTATTTGCTACGACCTATAAGTTTTATAAAGATAAAATAGAATAATCGTTTATTTTAATATTTGACATACATTTTTGGATTAAAAAACATCTTAATTGGTAAAAGATGTTGCAAAAAATACCATTTGATGTAGGTACTGTAGTTTTGAGCAGAATTTAGTTGTAATCAAAGATATAATATTAGAGAATACAAATAAAAATTTGAAGTTTCTGTTACCACAAATATTTAATAATTGTAGCGCCGTTAAACGCAATATAGATTGATAAAATGGTCAGCGTGCCCAGCGCCTAACGCCAACGTTTTTGTATCGTGTGAACTTGTCGTAATGGTGGAGATGAATGTTGCCAGAGAATGTTGGGCGCTAAGTTCACGCAAGTTTTAGTTTTTATTTTCATTTTAGTTTGTTTTGTTTTATTTTTGTCAATAATTAAGACTACAATATTTTTTCTTGTTTGTATTTACAGGTAATGTTGTAGTTGAAGGGTCTGGAAATGTGCCAGTCCGCACCATTGCTGTTCCGGCTAGTTCTGTCTGTTGGAATCGTTACATAGTTGCCAGGTTATATTTAATTATTTGGAACCAGCGAATAAGCAGATTGAAATAACTTTTACTTTTAATCATCGATTTACCAATTTTTACATCGATTAAAAATCCCATAAAAATAAAAAAATTCTAAAGATTTTCAAGTAATACGACCGTTATTTTTAATGTCAATTTAACCTTTCAATAGTGATAATTACAAAATTTAAATTTAAAATCTATCAAAACTGTCTTATAAAACAAAACAAAATTGTTATTTCAAAATATAATATAAATCTTTATATTTATTTATCATACATTTTAATTTACAGAGGTTACAATTTGTCTAAATAATAAACTATGAAATAAAGCAAGCTAAAATGAAAGTGGAGATTTGGCAACGTGGCTTGAGCAAATTCAAATTCTAGACGTCAGTGCAGAGTGGTGTGAATATGCGCATTTCTAGACCCGTCAACTACAACATTACCTATTTACATATATTAGTAGTAGTTATGAATATTAAAAAAATGGATTGGAAAGAAATATACAAAAGAGTGAGGGACCCAAAAATGATTAAGTGTAGGGCCCCACAAATCTTAAATCCGACCCTGGAGAATAGATCAATTGTATTGTTTCATATCCAATAGATGGCACTATCTGAAATGTCATGTGTCATGTCGAAATTTGGCAACTTGTCAACAAATCACGTATCATAACATTTTATTTTTTCAATTCGTGTTGAGTCAGTCAGGGTTAAACATTGATTGTCTGAATAGTATTCTTTTGTGCTCATTGTTTACAAAAATACTGAATAAATAACTCCAAAATGCGTCTTCCAGTTAAAGTAATTTCATTATTTTTACCATTAATATCTACAATTTTAGCCCATGATGATGTGTACTCGGTAAAATACACGACAGAGAATTTTTCTCAAGAAATAGGGAAGAAAAATCATTTTGTCATGTTTTACGCACCATGGTGAGTAATGTTTTTGTCAACTATTAACAAGGGAAATTCATTGTTCTTTTGAAATTAACTTTTTATATTTCTAACCCCACTTTTTGTTTTAAAATTTGTAATCGGCCTTTTTCTAAAGGTGCGGGCATTGCCAAAAATTTGCTCCAAAATGGGAACAATTGGCTGAAATGTTGAACGAAGACGAGAGTAATAATATAAAAATAGCCAAGGTAGATTGTACAACAGACAGCGATGTATGCTCAGAACAAGATATAACTGGATATCCTACTCTTAAATTTTACAAAGTAGGAGAGCCTGAAGGTGTCAGATTCCGGGGTACACGAGATCTACCTTCAATAACCACTTTTATCAATGAACAATTGAGAGAGGTAAAAGTTTACGGGTATTAAAACAGTTTCTGTAATAAAGTTAATATTTTAGGGTGATGACTTGCCAACAGAAGAATTAAAAGAACCACAGGCTGTGGGTGGCTTAATGGAGCTTAATGAAGATAATTTTGAAAAGCACGTTTCAAAAGGAAAACACTTTATTAAGTTCTATGCACCATGGTGTGGACACTGTCAGGTAACATGAAGCAATTCCACTAATTCTATTAATAAATTTTATCAACAGACTTGAAGAGCTTACATTTTGAACTATGATAGCTATTGATACAAATTCCTTCTCATAGGCACCAGTTATGGTCCTATAAATTAAATATTCTCTTTAAAAGCAATATTGATATGTTTAACTCATCTATGATCAAAATTAATAATCATCTAGGTTTATGATATTATAGTCCCTTATCTGACTGCAAAAAGGGACAATTTGCTTGTACCTGTACTATGTCCCGGTTGTAGGAGCTGTCATGTAACCTGTCAAATTCAAAGTAATCTTACTTATCGATGGATTTTTCGTTTTTTGCTGGAAATGAAATATGTTTCTAGACGTCTATAACAATAAAAAATCCCAGTAATGTTGTAGTTGAAGGGTCTGGAAATGCACCTGTGCACAACAATCCTGTTCCGGCTAGTGATAATTACAAAATTTAAATTTAAAATCTATCAAAACTGTCTTACAAAACAAAACAGAATTGTTATTTCAAAATATAATATAAACCTTTGTATTTATTTATCATACATTTTAATGTACAGAGATTACAATTTGGTTAAAAAATAAACTATAAAATAAAGCAAGCTAAAATGAAAGTGGGGATTTGGCAAGGTGGCTTGTGCAAATTCAAATTCTAGACGTCAGTGCAGAGTGGTGTGAACATGCGCATTTCTAGACACGTCAACTACAACATTACCAGTTAATGTTGTAAATGCTTGCAAAGGCAAGCATTTATTGTTGTCCGGTTTTGCTACTAGTGGTGTAAGTGTAGGGATTTCCCTACAACAGAAGTAGCAAAACAGGGCAACAGAAAATACTTAAAAAGGGATTTTTTTATTGTTATAGACCTCTAGAAGCAAATTATTTCATTGCCAGCAAAAAACTAAAAAATCCATTGATAAACAACAATATTTTGAATTTGACAAGTTGCATGACTGCTCCTACAACTGGAACATATTACATGTTGTTCACCCCCCTCCCTGTACTCAACTACAAATAGCAAGAAAAAAACATAATTTTGTTACAAACTGGCAACAAAGCTTGATATAAAACCTCAAACTGCTTTCAATACTAGCAATTTTGATTTGAAATTGGTTAATAACCAAGGATATAATTATTAAAAATTTTAAGACTTCAATGCTAAAATTAAAGTAATTCATTTTTGGACATAGTACACTCTTATCACTGGATGAACTGAAGAAGAGGAAAAACTTTTATTTACAACTTTTAGAGAAAAGTTTTTGCTTGTTTCAAAAACAGTAATAATTCAAACACTTTGCTTTATTGAAATAATCACAAAAATGTAAAAAAACAATAGTTTTGAAAAGTGCAAAAACTTTAATGAAAGATATCATTTTTTGAAAAGGTGAAAATAAAAAGTGTGTTCATTTTTTTTTTTTTCAGTCCATTCGGGACACCCTATATACATGTTTTTCACTAACTAACTAACTAACTAATATATAAGCCATTTTTATAATATAGATGGTTTTTATTTTATATTTTTAGAAATTAGCCCCAACTTGGGAACAACTAGCAAAAACTTTAGAATTTGAAACTGATGTTACTATAGGAAAAGTAGATTGTACCCAACATAGAACTATTTGCAATAATTTTGAGGTTAAAGGATATCCAACTTTATTGTGGATCGAAAATGGAGCAAAGGTAAACTTAAATATAAATACACTAAAATATCGTTTTTTATTATTAATTTTGAATACCTTATTTATTTGCATTTCTGATTAGGTTGATAAGTACCAAGGAGAACGCAGTCACAACGATCTAAAACAGTATGTCAACAAAATGCTTGGTTCACAAAAAACTGAGACAAAAGAAGAACCCCAATCGTCAGGCTCTCAACTTCCTTCTGGTGAAATAACCGAAGAGGTCTTTAAAGTCAGCATCCAATCAGGTGTAGCCTTCGTTAAATTCTACGCCCCCTGGTGTGGGCACTGTAAACGACTTTCTTCAACTTGGGATAATTTAAGAGATAAATTCTCTGGAAATAATGGAGTGAAGATCCTAAAAGTCGATTGCACTTTAGAAGCCAATAAACAATTGTGTAATGATGAAGAAGTAGAGGGTTTTCCAAGTCTCTTTTTGTACAAAGAAGGGGAAAAAATTTCTGAATACAGTGGTAGCAGAAGTTTGGAGGATTTGTATGACTTTGTTTCTAAGCATTCAATTCATGATGAATTGTAAATGATTTGAATTTTAAGACTGGTGTTGCCATTTTCAAATCGTATTTTCATTTCATAACAATTTCTAGAAAAGATTAAAACACACCTTTCATAATTTTGTTTATTGAATAAAATAATGTATTAAAATGTATCTAATTTGTTTTAAAATTGGTCAAATTCGTGGTAAAAATCTTCTATCATATAAACACTAGATACGTAACTCATCTGATCATAAACGTAGGTGGATTAAATAACAATTAAAAGAAAGTTTGCAATAAAATGTATTAACGAAAAATACCTTTGCAAATATATGATAGAAATAGCGATAGTAAATACATTTCTAGTATTTACAATGTGGAGTTACTAAATATTGGATGGCTAACTTTTTGGTGGATAAACCAGTAGACATTTTTTGGCTGTTTTAGAAATTTTTAACCAAATGGGAAGCATTTATTAGTAAGCTATATTTTGAAGCTTAAAGCTTTTAATAAATTAGATCAAACATTACAAGCAGTAGCTTTTTTCAAAGTATAAATAAGAAAAAATGTATTTTAGATGCTAATAAGGTGAAGTTAAATGATCCAGTTTTGGTTGTTGTTGCACTGAAATAAGTAATAATTGTACAGATACCTACCTGAGTGAATTTACCACTTTTTATAGATATCTATAAGTTGTCAAGCTGTTTGATTATCCTACCACCTTTATTTCGTACTGCTAAAAATATCTCCAAATGGATTTGAGACTACTGCAAAAGAATACTTATCATCTGTCTGACAACATAATAATAATAATTGAATATTCCTCTGGTACTTTAAAAACCTATTGAACTGGTCCTTGATGGTTCGCCATTTTTTAAGTTTTACCTGCTGACCTAGTAGAGTCTAGAAGTTCTTTGTGTCTTGACTCAGAAAATATATGCAATTCACTATGGCATTCTTTTGACTTCTGTCTGTCTTTTGAGATCAGTCAAAAAGGAATGAATGTTTAAATGATTATTCAAAGCTTCTGATGTAAACTTTATAGTCGCGATTTGTTAAGTCACGCCTTCTGTCTGGGGTTGGACAATTGATTTTGTTCAATGTAGCTTCATCTTTTGGCGGGTTGTATGTGGCGACTTTGAGTGCCATAACTGTTCGAACACCTGTGTGAAAGTTAGCATCACAATTCTTTTGCTCATAATTGCTATCCGGATTAATGGTCCACATTACCTACCGAATATAAATATAATATAAATTATGTTGCTCAACAGTGGTAGATAATTTAAAAATGTATAAATAATTAAAAAAACGTATATATTCATCATCTGCTAAAGTTGTTGGGAAAACAAAAATATTAAGCATTAAGACAATTACTATTTGCTTAATATTGCTAATACATAATGAAAAAATAAAAACGAAACAGAAATATTAAAGATGTTAATAAATATAACTACAGGGTGTCCCCTTAGTGTATGATTGTTCAATATTTCAATTTGTGTTATAGACACGCAAACAATTTTCAAATAAAAGTTATATGGATTTGAAAAATACAGATATTTTTAAAAATATTTTTGGATATGCAGGGTGTTGCATATTTGACTGGCAAATAAAGTATATTTCTTAAATGGAACACCCTGTATTTTATTTCATTTTTGGAATGGTTTGGTAATACTATTCCTAATTTTTTTTTTTTAACTAGGGGGTTGCCAAGCAGTTAATTTTTAGATGAAATAAAATTAAGAGAATGATGCAGACCCCAAATTAAATTATCATAATTTAGGTAGGCAGTGATTTAAAAACTGTGTAAAATACAGACTTATAAGATACCAAGCTAACGAATAGTGGTGAGCGAACTTGTTTATTTTATTAAGAGTGTTTTAAAACACGTCTTAAATATAGCTAATTTTAGGTTCAATTTACACAATTTTTTCAAATGCAACATTCTGAATATTATTTTAGCATAAAATTTCTTATACATTTGCCTATCCAACGATACCAACATGTTAGCCAATAACATATATACAGGGTGTCCCTTCAGTACGTAATTGATCGATAGCTGTTTTATTATTGAAAATACGAAGAAATTTTTATTATAAAAGTTGTATGACCATATTTAAAAATCATTCTTGAATATACAGGGTGGTTCATAAACGAGGTGCTGACCAAACCTATATTTTTTTAAAGCAAAACATCCTGCTGGTAGTTATACATATTTGATTGTTTTCACATCGTCAAACAATTTTAATTGACTTAATTCATTTTCTATGTTGTGTATAGGGTGTGTCAAAACGCGAGGTTACGATTGTCTTAATTTTTTAAATAGAATACCCGGTAATAATTAGTGGCATAACATACCATACATTTTTAAATCTTCCAATCGAATCATAGATGGGATACAATCCCTTTCTAAAGACTATACCAGTTTCATGTTGTGGGCAAAAATTAGGCAAGATTATTTATCTAGTGGTTATAATATGATTGAAGGTAAAAAATGATTGGCAATTTTGAAACTGGTTGCACTAAAATGATCCCCAAAGGAAAAAATAGTTGCTTCTTTTTTAGAAAATTACAATTACTAGCACACTTGGTGCTTAGAGCGCTTTTTAAATCTGCCAAAAATTTTTGGATTTAGGTCGATATTCTATAATTATTTCACTGTGTTAAGTATTGATATTTTTTGTTATGGTTGAACGTGTTTTCGCATTTTTATAGCAGGCTTACAGGGATATTCAATTAATTAAATTGTCATTTATATACATATCACTGATAAATTAGTTGTTTTTTTTTGTTTCTAGTCGCATAATCAAGAAACCTTTTATACCTTAACTTTTCCTGTATGAAAAAGATATGTCTGATAAGTATCCATTCTACTTAAAAGTAATCTGATTTTTTATCAGATATTTAAATTGTGATAATTTCCTTATTTTTTACGAATTGTTCAATTTTTATATAATATTCTATAATATAGAATGAAACAGCATTTTTTTGAAATTTCGATGCATTTTTTAATAGTTTAGTTTTTTTTTGTTCCAGATTGTTTGTAATTTATATCGTCCCGGTTTGTAAATAATAAAAGTTTAATATTTACCTACTCGTTCGTTATTTGTTCCCATTAAGTACCTTATCTACTAAAAGTCTTGATAAAAAATTATAGTCATAATGTTTAACCTTGTGTTTAATCTTTGATAAAGAATTAGAATAATACTTTTGTAACAATTATATATACAATTTTTATCACCCCAAGATATACCTTAATTTATTTACTTTGATCCAACTATAATTAAAATTATTAACCATTAACGTTCCTAGCAGCAGCGACGCACTAATTTTGAATCTTATGTTACATTTCTAGCTTGATGTGTGGCAATGATGCCCAATAATTGATGACAGTCGTAGAATGATCTAACCCCAATGACTAGAACAGCGTCATTTCTATGAACATGATTGACTTACCTGACTTATTATAGTGATATATAATTCCTATCTCACGTGACGCTGCTTTTGGCCAATCGATTGGCTGAAGTTTGTTATTAATAAGTGATAATACCACAGTTATATAATTATAGAAATAATTTTAAAAATCTGATGTGTCCAACACATATGACTTTCCTATCTAGTTATTATAGGCTTTTTCCGGTTATTTTGTACAACCTATTGCAGCATCTCTATAAATGTTTAGAGGATAAACTAAATATATACATTGTCCACATACATCTACCTCGAAACATTTTTCTATAGATATTCATGGAAAACGAAAATACTGAAAAATTTAAATTTCCTACAATTTTTTCATTACGGTCCATTTTAGAAAAATCATGTATAAACAAAAATTATAGAGATCGATATCGCAAACAACTTTTATTTCAAAAACTTTCATAAAAATCAGAATTTTGCACATTTTGTCAAATTTCTCGAATACGGACCATTTCAGGAAATTTTTACATAAAAAAAACTATAGATAATAATATTAGAAGTAACTTTTATTTGAACAATTTTTTTCTCCAAACATTAATAACAGATATATTCCATAAAATATAAAAGTGGCCTCCCATATGTTCCGACTATGTCCAAAATCTAATCTTTTCATGTCAGGCCGAAATAAACCTTAAGTTTAAAATTTAATGTTTTTTTCTTTATTCGTTTTTGAGTTTTCTTCCAAATTCGAAATTTACACATTTTCTCAAATATCTCGAATACGGTCCATTTTAGAGAAATTATGTATAGAATAAAAATTATAGAGAATTATATTACAAACAACTTTTATCTGAACAATTTTTATAAAAAATTATTTTTTTTAAATTTTGTCAAATTTATCGAATACGGACCATTTTAGGAAAATTTTGCATGAAACAAAAATTATAGATAATCATATTAGAAGTAACTTTTATTTGAAAAATTTTCTTCTCCAAACGTAAATAACAGATATATTCCATAAAATATAAAAATGACCACCTGTAAGGTACCCCCCCAGATGTTCCGACTCTGCCCAAAATCTAATCAGTTCATTGGACGATGGAATAAAGCTTAAGTTTAAAATTTTGTGTGTGTGTGTGTATCGGTTCATGAGTTATGCGTTATACAGACACACACACAGACATCATCGCGAAAATAGTCCAAACGGATTCAGGGGACCTCAAAACGTAAAAATCCGTCGAAAACTCGAGGTCGAAAAAATCATGATTCCTATACTTTCCTTATATCTGTATACAGATAGGAAAGTAAAAAGGACAAAACTGTTAAATATATAAATTACAAAGCTTTAAAAAATAGTTTAAAGTTCTTTGACTGGAGCTAATAGAGAGTTGAAAATAACCTCTTTTTAATTGAGAAAGAAGAAATCCTAATATTGTCATTAACTGTTATGGCACGTAAATGTCACGATGCGTTTAACACACACATACTTCGAAACTATCAGAGAAATATCTCTCGAGATATGTAAACCACTTACTCATTAAACAAATAAAAATTTTTCAACAGGTATATTTCCAATTGAACTTAAACGTTCCGTTATAATCCCGCTTTTTAAGAAAGGTGCACATAATAA